CAAACTGGCTGAGCTCTGGGCCACTGCAGACTGATGGCCCTCGCGACGTGAAGCGGCAATGTACAAAGGGTTAAAGAAATGATGAAAAGGGGAATTGGCTCAGGTGACGGGAAGGGTAAGCGTGTCCTCCGTCACAGCCGGGTTGTGTGTGCGTTCAAAACACAACAGTCGCTGACATAAGGCTGTCCACACACACACACACATATATATATATATATATATATATATATATATATATATATATATTAGGTTCAAGTAAATTAATTAAGATTGCACGACGAGGTGTAATAACACAAATTCTAACCCAGCATCTATGACATATGACCTTTGTGGAGGTTTGTATTTGGCTAACCCTTCAGCGGAGTCTTACTGATCATTGATTGTCACACCTCTTTTCAAGCTGGCATGAAGACAAGAGCGACGAGGCACTCTACTCTGCACTTTTAGCTGCAGAGATTAGAAAAGTGCAAACAAAGCTTCGGAATATTTAAAAGAGAAAACTTTGAGCCACTTCAATCAACACAAACTTGTGTACGAGCGCGACCAAAAAGCTTGGTTTTCCAAATCTCTACAAAAGAGGGGATGAAAAACAAATGTTATGGTGCAGTGCTGCAGAGCAATGTTGCAATGCTTAAGTGCCCGTATTATAAATATATCAACCAGCGAGGACCGGGAGGTTTTATCGGACAGATGGACCGCCAAGAAAGAAACCTGGAAATAGAATTCTTTTGTGTTCATCATAAAAGAGAAGAAGCATTTGAGGTGACGAAATGGCAAATATTGAATTTCAATTAAAAAGACCTGGCTACCGATTAGAAGATAAAAGAATTAGAATAAATCAAAAACATAAGTCCTTCCTCATGTCGCTCACTGTGTCACTCAACAACTTTTTAAAATCCATCAGATGAACTCGAAAACATTCTTTCTGCTTATCTAAGAAACATCTTATTCAAACGCTCCCCTTGAGAGCATGTTTCCTTGATCTTAATTTAAGATAGGATCTATGGTGAACACTGGCTCAGGGCACGGGAGGCACACGCTATTGATTCATTTTTCATTGCCGTTCTCTTAAAGCACCAAGGACATGTGCCACATCAAATCTGCTCAACCCTCAGTTTAATAGCTCGCTTGAAACAAAAGTCTTTTGAGGCTGGTGGTTTTAAAAGGTAAAGACTGATGGAGGGAGGGTGCCTTGATTTCCGTTCTGGCTCCCCGTTACTTTTTTCTTGTTCTCACAAAGGGTGCTTCACAAGTACTCCTGGCACTTGATTGGAGTTAAATAGGATACAGATGTCTGCGCGTCCTTCTGTCCATGGACGTCTCTGCGTCGGCCTCCTTTGTTTCTCATCTGGATGCTTTGCAATCCTCCTGGTCGGCTATGGAACCAGCTCGCTCGCTCGTTCTGTAAATCGGGAGCGGTTATACGTGCACGAGGGCGCCGGTTACCAGCGCTTACATATTCTCGATGAAATGCCATTGTGAATATTCATTTTAAAGTTGATTGTTGTTTTTCAAATGTGAGGATATGTTTTTTTAATCATTAAGAATTTGAGTTTTTAAAAGCCATATAAAGCAAATGTATGTAAATTGGAAATTCCTTTGTTTTGGCAACAGATTTACTTAAAAAATTAATTAGGAATTGATATGTATAAAATATTTTGTACCTGTGGAACTACACAAATATACTTGCACTAGAGCCAGGGGATTTTGGGGTTTCAGTTAAATCTAAGTCTTCATCTCAACTTGATAATGATCAAAACATTTTAAGGTTCAAGGCCGTCGAACGCCTGTACGCGTAAAACACGCGAAAGCATCTTTTAATGTGAAATGTTGTTGAATATACGGCCACGCGGAACACTTCCCTTTTGATAGAATTAATGAAGATGGATGTAGCCTTGCAGTCATTCTAAGCCACATTCAATGACAAACAAGTGCTCAATTTTAGAAGCTGCCTCACAATTGACGGCCTCCTTTTGATTACCACCACATTTCACATCAGAATGGTCGTAAACTGTTTAAATTGGGGGCAATATAATCATTATAAAACCATACACCGACTAAAAAATGTTAAAAACATGTCCTTGGCCACTTTTGAAACTGGAACTTTGTAATTCTGAAGGAAACCAAAACACTTCTTCGATGAAACTCCATCAGGCCGAGATGTGGTTCTATAAGCATGGGGGATCATTTATGGGTTTTGCCAGCATGGGTTTTGGTTGTGGAGGGAAAAAATAGGTATAACCTAATTAAAAATTAAATAACATTTTGGATTGGGGAATGTTTTTTTTTCTTCCTTGTACCAATATCATTTGCCTCTGAATAGATTATATTGAGTGTATTTGTGAGAGTCAAGGACGTACGAGTTCCGGAGTTGGAGATTTCCGGCAGGTACGGTGGAGAAAGAAAGTCCCTGAATTTATCCAAAAATCCTCAGTGCTCGAAGCAGACCGGATAATACTCAGGAACTCGCTGTTTAAGCTAAATAAAACAAAAGCTTTATTTATTTACGTGTATGAATCAGAGCATTTCACAATATAGAACCGCTCAGCCACCAGCACAACCCACGCAGCCTCACAAGACTTCTCTTCCTCTTCTGGACAGGTAGACGCAGGAAAACACATGTGTACACAAGCACGCCGACCATCACCGCCTGCGAGCTCCACCACCGTGTCGCCATGGAAATAAGCAGTCATCTGTCCACTCATACAGATATCGATCGCCCTGCTGCGGTCTGGAGATTACTGCTTTTCAACACGCGCCGCACACGCCCTATTCCCCCCACCCCCCCTCCTCGTTCTCCGGGTCTCAGCAGCATTCCGTCCGAGCTGCGGCGCCCCGCGTCAGCGGCAATGCAGAGAGACGGAAGTCTCCCTTCGCAGTATCACCGCGGGAGTCATTGATGGATTGTTACAAGGTGGCCCCCAACTCGTGACGTAAATCAGGCCAATCTTTACTGAGCCGCCGTGGTAATCGATGGGCGCCTGCCGCAACACCCCAAAGAAGAGGTGTCTGGTCCATCTCCTGCAGAGGATCTTTCCCAGGTGTGTGTGTGTGTGTATGTGTTTGTGTGTGGCGCCCATATTTCCCTTAATCTTGATTGAGCAGGTAGAGCCGAGCATATGCAGGGTTGCACACTTACACGCTGGTCAAACTGGATTACAGGCAATTCACACAGTCCCCTATTCCCACCTGATTCTCGGCTGGGAGAGGGGAAGGTGCCAGAAAGATTTCATGCCTGAGAAAGAGGAAGACACAGTTGCGTGTTTCCCTATAGACAATCGTAAGCAACACTCTCCTCGCAGCACATCTGAGAGCACTCTGTCCCGCCGACACACGCTGACAACGTGAAAATGGGAATCTGCCAGCGAAGCAGCGAGCAAACTGTAGCCCAAAATCGGAGATACCCCGGCTAAACGCGCTCTATTCTTTTTTCCCCACTTTCATATTGGAAGGAGGGTGCTCCAAGAATGACAGCTGCTTTCAGTATGTACGCCATATCTCAAGGCTCCACGATTGAAACAGAGGTTACAAAAGGTCATCAGCATAGTCTGGAAGGAAACTAATGATTTATCATTATTATCAGGACTGGATATTCAACCATGTGACCACTGGGGTTGGTCACGTATCGTCGTATGTATTTCTCCTAACTATAAATGAATGGGATAAATATATATATTTTTTTTTTGACACAGTTTATAGAATCTACGAAAGCAGGCATCGCCCACGTCTCGGATGATCGGTCATGATACAAGCGGTCATGTTCTATTTACCAAGCACAATGTGCCTATTGCTCCTGAACGGGAGCAATACTCCATTCACGTCCTCGCGGGCTAAGCTGAAAAACCCGCTCTTTCAACAGAAGTTGCCAAGCACAAAAGAACAGCTTGAAGAAGAGGGAGAAAATGCAATCAATACCAAAATGTGTCTGTAAACTGCCTCAAAGAGCGATGTTTGTCTGAGAGCCTGGACAGAGCACAGGCCATGTCACAGTGTGCTGCTCGGCCTTGGCCGTGCTCCCGTTAAGCTCTACAGTCCTCTTAATCCTCACCAAACTCTCAAAAGGCAATGAAATACCATTTAGAGTGGCAATTCAGCACTTGCTAAACCAATAACATTTCTTCTTTTTTTTTTCCCAGAAAGAACCGGGCAAAAAAAAAAAAAAAAGAAGGTAGAACCCATTCTTTAGAAAAGGCAACCAGGTGCCACTTTATGGGATCTTAAGTGAGAAAATAGGCAATTTGGCACATTACCGTTTGGAGAATTTCAATAAAAATGTAACCAATACATTAATATCATTAGTGTATCTCTCTACACACACACTTGTTGTGTTTGTACCTCTACAAACACAACAAGAATATGCGTTTCTAGGAAAAAGGTTTGGGTATTAAACATAAATAGGGTTGATGTTTATATAGCCATGAAGATGTAAACTAGTTTATACTTTCTGTTAAAGGCAGAATAGATGTATTTGATATCTTTTCTGCGCCATTGAGAGGCAACATGAACAGTAACAATAAACGGCTTAAATTGCAGATCATGTGTACTTGTGTAAACTCTTTGTGCGACGAACAATATTCAAATGCTAATAGGTGTTACACTGCAATCTCTTCCATAAGAGAAATCAGAACACAGTAAAAGACCTTGAACTTCATTTTCAGGCTGTGTAATTTCAAAATCCCTCATTTGAAAGCACTAGCATTTACATGCAGGAATTGTGTTGGCAATTTAAAGCTTTTCCTAATTACAGGGCATTAGCAAAATCAGGGCGGAAAATTAGAGTCCAAGACATGAAAATGACCCCAATCGCACACTTTAGAAGATGCTCTTCCACATATTTCCAAGGGAAGATAAATGTCAGTGTGTGTGTGTGTGTGTGTGTGTGTGTGTGTGTGTGTGTGTGTGTGTGTGTGTGTGTGTGTGTGTGTGTTTGGGGGGTGAAGGAAAGACAGATACACAGAAGGAACAAGATTCAAAAGCCAAATAAATAATGGGCTACTTACCGCAACTTTGCTCCCAGTTATCTGCATGCAGCGATCAGCGGAGAAGGTTAATGTGCAAAAAGACACAAACAGCAAAATCATTAGTAGGCCAGAGAATCCTCTACATAACATGTTGAAGCATAAGCGTAACTTGTGTGACATCACAAACACAATACACAAAAAATAGGAGCACGCCATTAACATTATGGCACACATAATCGAGATAGGGCCTGTGTTTTTGCAAAATGTAAAACAAAAAATGTATATATCAAATCAGTGCATGGCAACAACAACAACAACAACTGACGTGTTCAGACGGGGATTCATCCCCATCGATTAACGGCGTGCATTGAAGCTCGTCACGTGGACAGTGAAGCTGCAGAGGGGCGGGGCCAATATGCCTCAGCTTTCATTAACGGCAAGTTTCAGGTGTCACCTCGGTGTGGCACAGCAACACCGAGCGCATGCAGTCAGTGCCAATCCTGGAGTTTGCCCTTGTTATCCGTCAACAGTGCCAGGTAGCACAGGTGTTTTTTACGACGCCTTGTTTCACAGTGGGAGAGTGTCTTGTCAGCTGGGGAAAATGTTTTCTCTACTGTGGCTGACGATTCATTCACCTGCCACATGTTTTACGAGGAAATGTTCTTTGATTGCCGGGGAGAATGTCCAGGAAACAAACTGGGCTCCTGGTTGGTAACCGCCCCCCCCACCACCAGTTTCATTCTTTCCCATTCGCCCTCTCCTCTTATCTAATCTCCATTTCTATTTATTTTATTGTCACTCTCAAACTCTACAGATCTGTGGCCATTTTACGCTTGATTTCCCCTCTCCATCCCTTTGCCGAGAGTTTATGACGGCCATAAAGTCTGTTTCACTCGTGCCACCACCCGATCACGCGCATACTACTCTCTAAGTAGTCTCCACATTTCCTTTGCTCTCCAGCGGATGCAGCGGTGTGTCACTGTCTAAGACTGGGGAATATTGTACCTGCATGAAGGCCAAACACATCTTCCACGGATGTTGATGCCAATAACATTGGATTTGGATTTTCGAGGTTCGTTTTAGAGCAAAATAACAGACACTATCTTGTGTGTGCACAGACAACCGTCAGGGGTGGAGCTTCAAGGGGAGAAGCACAGTTTCATTTTTAGCAAGCTTGTATATTACAATGCAACACCTTATTCTCACATAAAGAAGTGCTGCTGTGGTTTTACTGAATATATCAAATATTTTAAAAAGTCTCTCGTACAACAGTATAACAAAATGTGCAGTGCCCTTTCCACATACACATAGCTGTTGACACCCTTTTTAAAGATGGAAAAAATAAATAAACTCACAGCACTTAACGGGGGAAGGAAATGTCCCCCTTAAAAAGAAGAAGGTGGCATTTTCTTTTTCACATCAATGCTTGACTTAGAACTTGAATAGTGACACTGGAGAACCCCCCCCCCCCGACGAGTCCTTGCACTCACACTCTTCCTGCATCTTAGACACAGCACGTAAGACATGAAACAGGAAAATAATCACTGAAACTAAAGTACATTTCAGAGGATATAAGCAGCATTAATTAGCGTAAAATGAATTGTGGCAGTTTTTAATTACGTTGGCACATGTTTACAGTAAGAAGGAAGAGCAGGTAACGAGTTGACAGAGAGAGAGAAGTCAGTGTTCATGCGAAGCAAGCGGTCAAGGACGTCCGCAGACACACTCCTACAAATGCACAATGCTCCCAGAATTTCATGTGAAAGACATATTTTATAAAAGTAAATAAAGTAAGAATGAGCCATGTTGATTTGAAGCTTAATGGATAGCTTAATGGTTTTGTATCAACGTGCATAAAAGATGAATACACATCTAAAAACGTTGGCCATTGCGAAGGCCTGAAGCACCTAAAGCTATTCAATGAGGTAAAATGTTTCATTTGTTGGTGCAGAGATGTGTTATGTTGGGCATCAAAGCCTTTTGCTAAGATAAAGAGACAAATGAGAAAAAGGCCGCACGCTATTGGGAGATTTACAATTCAAGCTCTCAATGTCTGAATGCTTCCCATTCAGCGTCGCACCATCTATGCAAAAATTAGCCCTCCCTGCATCCTCATCAGCGCCCGAAAGCAACATAAGCCACAGATAACGCAGAAGAGAAATACGCTCAAACAAATCTTGTGCAGGTGCAGTCTGGGTGCCCAACTGAACAGAAACAAAACTGTCTTGAAAGGGCAAAGCGATCACAAAACACAAAAGTTTTGATGTATCCGCTGAACAACTGTCGGGTGACTCGATGTGTGCCGATTTGGGGCTTCTGTGGTTTTATATGGAACCTAAAGCACGTATTTGAGACGTTATACAGAGCACCAGGTGCCTGATCCTTAGGACACAGCATTGAAAAAGCTCAACTTTGAATTTTGGGTTTATGAAACAGAAAAATCCTACTCCCTTCGCTTTAGTTGGTTGGAGCAATCCAATGATGTACTCTGAAACAATGACAGAAACGGCCTCCCCTCATGTGCCGCGGAGTTACACAACGCTTCATACCGAAAATATTCTGGCGTTAAAGGGCCTTCGACTGTTGTTTAACAATTCGTCCTCTCGGTCCCTTGTTTGATATCAAGAATTGACCATACGTCCATGTTTTAAAATGTTTCAGTGGAAGCGCAAAGCACGGAGTCAGTGTTTGTAAGTCATACCGGACTCTCATCCCCCTTCCTTCGGTCCTATCTAATGACATTACATTTTGTCCTGGATTACGATATTCATTTGAATAAAATATCGGCCCTCACAAAGCATAATGGGCCCTGTGAGGAATTCAATCATCTTGGATAATCGTCATTATCAATAATGCCAGTTAATTACCATAACAATGAAGACCTGTAATAAATGATGATGTCGAGAGAGCGCTACCAGGTTCAGGGAGAGATGGGGACAGAAATCCCTTCTTTTCCGTCTGTGCTGATGTGAATTTCACCTCACAAGGTTGGCTATGTATTAAAAAGGGGGATATGAAAAATGATCGGATCTTTATGGATCGCCGTCACAGATCTTTACTCTTCACTACTGTTTTGGGGTTAGACTGATAATCAAATTCTGGATGACTTCTGAAGCAAATTGTATTTGACTATTTCGTTTTTCACCTTAACACTGCTGTTGAAGCGAGAGGTTGATTGAACTTGAATGATGATTTTTAGTTATTGATAAGAAAAGAAAAGGGCATGAGGACACTACCATCCAACACGCCTGAGCCAATTAAACAACCTACATGCAAGTGAGTCAGGTGTGACCACCCCACTGGCATTAAGTGACAATATATATCTGATAATCTACCACAGCATATCGCTGTACAGTGAGCAAATTCAAAATCCCTCCAGCACTGAGAGAGAAGCGAAAGAAGGAGAAGAAAAGAAGAAAAAAAAACAGTGGTGAGGGTGTGCGAGGTGACCAAGCAAGCCGTGAGGCAGAGGATCAGGTTAAAGTCATTCTGCTCCAGCTCACCCACGACAGTTATACAGAACACACTCTACGGTCTACAGCGCCGGAGGGGGGGGGGGGCTGGCTCTCACTTACAGATTTGGCAGTAGCAGAGATGTACTGGACCACCATCTCGCGTTTGGTGCTCAAATCTTTTCCACGCAGAGGGGCTTTGCGTTCCTCATTCAGGTTCATGTCCTCCTAGAGACACACACAAGACAGTGAGAGGAAAGGTTACGAAATGCAATCGGAAGAAACGGCAGGAAATGTAGTGCAGCACATTCGTGGTCAATTTTAATGGATTGTACAAAATAAACTGAAAAGAGGTCAATTTAGATTTTTCTCTCAAAACACCGGGCTGACTTGAGAAAAATAAGCAAGAGAAGATGTGAAAACGTACACGCGTATGGACCAAAAAAGGACGCAGCGAAAAAACAACCAGCAGCTTGAGTAGCAAGTGGAAATATTTACACCCACCTAGCGACCAGACTCCATCCCTCTTACATCAGATCGTCTCCTTCTAAAACATTGCTTTCGCATCTGTATGTTTCTCACTCCAGTTCCCGAGGTTCAGCAACAGGAAATGTCATTAATTATTAGTCCTTGAAACGAAAGTAGTACGGCTACAGCGGTAGAAAAAAGAAAAACGTACTCCCCGTCTTCGAACAAGAGAGACAAAATCAAACAGCCCCGCTTCTATTGAGGCCAAGCAATCACATCCGATGGGCCAGATAGGCAATATTTGTGCGTTATTGGGAGTATTATCTGTGTGCTACTTTAATTCTGCATCACAAAAGAGGTCTTTCATGTGAGAGACATCAGGGGATGGAGCGAAGGCCGGACAGAGCACTAAAAGCCAGAGAATGACATGATGATTAGAATGGAGGGTGGGGGGGGGTTTATCAGAAGTACTCTCTCACAAAGAGACGGACAGAATGAACAGAGAGAGAAAAGGAGTTGGAGGAGAGTGAGACTTAAGTTGTGGAGCCATGCTGCCCTCTGCTGGGAGGTGGGGGGGCGCAGAAAATCCCGTGTCCTTCTGCTCGGTTGATCTGATTTTGGCAGTAAAGTCTCCCGATCAATCACGCGAGCCACTTAGAAACAGGGATATTTTGCTACATTGGTTTGAATGTTTTCACGCCGAGTAATCGGATTCAAACTATTCTTGCTTACTGAAGCATGGAGGCAGGAGTCCCATCCAGGGGCACAGTAGCCAAAATGTCTCTTTTTTCTTCTAGTAAATACCCTCTGAGCGAAAATAATAAATACAGAAAAAAATCCTTCCCGTACAAAAAAAAAATGTGGCTAAAAGTTGATCAATTAGCCGTTTTTTTTTCCTCAGTGAAGGAAACCAGCAGGTTTTTTAATTAATCTTTGAACCCTGCTAATCTTTCTGCCTAATTGGCATTCACTGAGCGAGGCATAATGCGGCGGGGCTGCTATGTCGTATAAGGGGAAGGAGGGGTGGGACAGCGGGACCCTTGTCAGGGGGCATACTGCTTCTCAAAAATGATTAATGCTCTTTTATTAATTATACCCTCACGGGCTACATAAAGACTCCCAGATAATCTTTGACTATGCTGCTGGTATATCAATCACACAATACGATTTGAGCTTCTAACAGCGGAGGAACATGTTGGTCTGGCAAACTATTTCAACACTTCGGTCTCTACTTGTCTTGCTCATACTATGCCAAACACAATCTCATTTTGCAACACTTGGCAAATGGCGCATCACGGGCCTCATCAATTGGCTTGTGTCGATTGGTGACTGGATTGAATATATAGGAAAATGGCGGAATTATCGAATTGTTTTTTCCCTGCGGTAGCCCGTTGATTTGAATGGACTTAATCAGATCAAAACAATGCTAGAATCCGCGCACTGTGTGCTTTCAGAGATGTCAGAGCGGCGTGTCGGCCCACTGAGCACGAGAGAGAGGACATAAAAGTCCTTATTTGCAGACCAGGTTCCCTGCATATTGGAATTATCAGAATATTTTGTTAACATTTTTTGAATGTTTTTCCAATACGATTTTAGGGAAGAGTGACAGAGAAACAGCAAGATAATTACTGAAAGTTATTAATAATTATAGTTTAAAGGTCAGTGTTGGACGCTCACAGCATCCAGCAGCCCCAGTTATGTGATTGAACTGTGATATCAAAGATAATATTGAAAGACGATTCTGTAATATTGGAAGTTTCTATTGTATAAGGAGCTGACCCTTAACGTAAGGGTGTTAAATCCATATTTTTATAGGAGTTCATAGGATATAGGAGTTGCAACAAATTGTTAGTTAAAGACATACCCGTCAGATTTAAGATAATAGCACACTGATCAAATATAAAGCCCACAGCTTCTGTGTTCTAAACTGGCCAAGTGAGCCATCTCAATCCAAATGAGCAGGTGTTTTTCTTAGTAAAGACCTGCCCCCAAAACGAGCAATAAGTGGGGATGGCTGCATGACAGGCCTGGCAACACGTCAGTAGTGAGATACAAAACCACAATTAATGACTCGAATCAAATCTTTTCCAGCCTGAAATGGATGCGAGGAGTCCACGCCATGTGGCAAAGTGGGGCCAAGAGAAGTAGAGGACGTGCAACAATGTTTTTGCTCCCACTGTGACAAAACGATTATTTTGTCCACTACCCTCAAGTCGGATCCATGAGTACACACACACACACACACACACACACACACACACACACACACACACACACACACACACACACACACACACACACACACACACACACACACACACACACACACACACACACACACAGTAACTCTCCTGGGGGCTGGTTTTAATGTGCTGGTGCGTGAGTACAACTGCTGAGGGATCACAGAGGAGCTTATTACTACGGGTGTGCAACCTGACTGTGGTTCACGGAGGCACATAAAACCTCGGACGAGCCACAGCAGCACTGCAACGCGACAGCACCTCGCCGCCGTACACCACTCCGGACAACGAGAAGACACCTTGAAGAACGGCAACAGAGATGAATTGGAATCCAATCAATTCAATCGGTCCTAAATAGGTGTGTTATTCCCTCGGGTGGAGTTTCATGCTGACAGACGAGTAAAAACATAATTTGCGTCCTGTCGGCGCGGGGGGTCGTTATTTAACGATGACACAAACTCACGCCGCCGGGGTGATTTTTGTCTGGGTGGAGAGGACAAGTTAATGTGTCTCAGATGCACAGATCCCACTTCGGTTTTCTTTTAATGCTTCTTACGGAGACAATAGAGAGTTGAATTGACGATGACAGGCGTTTGTTTAGTTAACGGACCTTTTGCTTGCTGAGTACCAATAGAATGAGTTTTCAATGCCATTTTGTGTGCTACTGTGTTCGTGGTTTGAACCTCTTGTATTGGAATGTGGTACTGCAACACAGCTGCCTTCTCAGTGAGATGCAAATATTTCACCAGCGGATTTACTGCTGTGCATTTTGATGAAGGGCTGCGAATTCCATCTGTACACATCTAGGGAAATCTAACAAGAGGACACAGAGCAAATACTCTTCTAAAGAAGGCTGGCAATGCCGAAAATATATTTTCATGCACTTCCATCGGTGCAGTTCTATAAATATACTTCTCCTGGAATGAGTTTGTTTGGTTTTCCACCCAACTGAGAGTTTCTTTCCTACATTCTCCCGGATCCCTTTGATGACCTTTCAGTAATGGGGTGTGTGCTGTTTAGGCTGCGAGATACAAAGCGCAATGTGTAAAACACTTTCCAGAGAGAAACATTTTCATTTCCTCCTAGTCATTAACGCACAGTAGGTGGTCTCGCAAATATGGCATGGGTCGTCCCTCCGTTAGAAGCAAGCTAGACATCTAAGGCTGTGGCTTGTAGCCCCGTGAAAACAGTCAATAACAAAATGGCTGTAAAGACGAGAGCCAAAACGTGTCTGTACCACTTTAAAAGGGATGGGGAGATGATAAAGGCTGATGGATGCTGGAGAGAAGCTTCTTGTATCAAAAGAAACTAGCGTCCACTGTCGTGTCAGCGTGCAATGCATCAAAGCAGAGCAAGTTTACAGTGAAGTTCACAGAGGAAGGAGGGCGGCTTCAAACATACATAAGTAAATAACATTACTTTCATTACTAATTATGAATCCCAGCCCCATGTGTCAAGGCGTGTCAAATGTCACACCAGCAACATGGCTTCCGTGTCATCTGTCACTGAGCAAATTGAAGCTGGGGTTTAATGTCACGCCGCTGTGAGCACAAACACAGTAATTGAAAGGTGAACTGAGTGACAGGGATGAGCATCCAGGCAAGAAAACACTGAGCAGTGGCCTGATGAAAACCAGCAGCCCTGGTCACATTTCTCTGGCCTTGGCAATAAAGACCATTGTGTGAGGAAAAAAGGAAAGTCGGGCACCGCCGCAGCGCACCCGGACACACTCAGACAGACATTACCCACAATGGCACACACGACCTATGCAATGAACCAGAGTAATTCAGCTCCCCACTTCAAAGAGATGGGCCGAAAGCTTTTTGTTAGGTTTCAAACCTTCAGTACATAAAGCCCAAAATGTATTTCAATGGAGAAAATCACAGGTGTGACAGAGCTGTGACCCCGCAGACGCATGCCAAGTGAATTTCAAAGTTTTGTGCTCTTCTCACTGGCCTCGGGAAAACGCAGGCGAAGCCTCACCTCACACAAGTGTAACATCTGAAAACCAAAATGAATTGATCTTTAATAGAAATACCGTACTGTAGAACCTATTCTGTCTATTCTGGATCTTTAAGCATTCTGTATCCTTTGAATTTATTTTTATAAATACAAGATCACAAATTTCACCTCGCGTCAGGGTCGTTGATTAAAGGAGAGGTCCCATGTAACCGTTTATTGCTTTTTGAATACGCAGCTTCGACAAGTAGTCGTGCGTGTGTGTGTGTGTGTGTGTGTGTGTGTGTGTGTGCCACCCCTCGGGTATCCATTCGCGGAGACTTTAACCTGCACTTTATTTGCATTACTTCAGAGCCCTCTGCAGTTGCATTTTTACATTTTTCATCTCATTGGGACATTAAGCACTGATGGCTTTCTAACCTGACATAGTTTAAGGGGATAATTATTATTATCTTGATAAATCTGCAGATGAAGTTCATCCCCGTGTCTGATCATGGTGCTAAAATGTTAGTGTGACTGAAATTACAAATCTCAAGAGCTTAGTTGTTTCCATGTTGACATGTTTACATGGAAACTGGTATTACAGTGTATTGGATTATTCATGTAGAGTATGCGGAGGTTCCCATCCTGGTTTCAGATCTAATGTTGTGTCACATGTTAGTTGACTTGAAATTGTGCATTTAGTTATAAGAACTGTAACCAGAAGAATTGCATCTGTAGAAATGACGTTGTTAAATGAAAAACAATTTTAAGACACTGCATAAAATTAAGAGAGCTTTGATATGAATAAATTGTTCCTGTCAAAGTTTTGTTCACGAAACAAGCTTGTCAGCATTAAATCCGTGGGTAGTATAGAGATTTATAAATTATTTCCAGACTTCCTTTGCTGAGTTGTCAACCTGCTTTTCACGAACATACACCACAGCAGCTGTTTCCATACTCGTGTCCTTTTATTCACAGATTTATTCATCAATTTTAAATGTGATGATAGAGTGCACGTCGTTTATTATTATGTGGAAGCTGCACTAAAACTGATGCGAAGTGCCAACCAATGACCCTGTGCAGAGGAAACACTGCAAGATAAATACAATGCTCACCATCATCTTCTCGAAGAGGTCAATGATCTCCTTTTCCGAGAGGTTCATGGAGCGGTCATCGGAAAAAGCCTGTGGAACTGGAAGCTCGGCCTGGATGGAGAGGGGATCTGTTGGGTGGTGTATAAGGGGCTTCTCCTTCTTCATCCCGGTTTTCCTGAAGCTGGTGAGGCGATCACGCTGAAAGCGAACACAGAATGATTGATATGAATATTATGGGTCTGCTAACAATCCAGTCAAGGCTTGTCCAGGTTAAAAGGCTCACTGGTTATCGGTTATTGCTGATTTACACTGGAAAAAAAATGTTGTTCTGTTTCCTATTTTCAGAGGATGCTGTAAAATTGACCAGGATAACAATCAGCCAGAACCATGGTTCAATAAATAATTAATTGGTAATCTTCCTGAAAAACATTTAAAGATTTTTGTTAAAGTCCTGATTAGTCCCAACGGCAATAAATGAATCTGAACATGACTGTAATAAGCCTGAATGTGACGATGTGCCTGCCGCGTAGTCTCTCCGTGCATTCGATGCTCATCGATGGAATCTTCCACAACCTGCCACAACCTGCCACATGTTCCCGTTCATAATGATCATTTTGGGAGAATGGCCTGAAGTGACAAGATGTCAGTGTTGACCACTTGGTAAATGGCAACTTTTGGAACTTGTGCTGCTAGCTACTTTAATTGCCATGTCAATGCCACTGAACAGCATTGGACCAACAAATGGACCAACATTGCCACCTCTGGGATCTTGAGGGCTAAAAACAAAAATGTGTGTGGAGTAAACATTTCCAATAAATACCTTTGACTTCTTCTTTAATATTAAAAAATAAATACAGATTGAAATTGTTACATGCGAGTGTCAGAACGTGTACTTAATATGCAGTATGACATTTCAAAAATACGTTACTCACCTTCATACCTGTTGGGATTACCTGGTGTGTGCTTATTCTTTTGCACACAATAATTTCTGCTCAGTGTGGTAAGTTATCGCCAGCGAGGCTCAGCTGAATGTGCTATAGTAACGTTCAGTGTGGAAGCAGAAAACGCACATGAAATACATGCAACTAGTCAATGTTAGTTCTATTTCGTAAAACGGAATGGAGACAACATGCTGGATGGATGGACACATGCAAATTTAGAGGAAAGACAAACATGATATGATGACATACGTGATGTCAAGATTCCGTTTGCTGAAATATTGCTGGATGGATCAAACAGCAAAAAAAGAAAAAAAAAGCATTAGCTTCTAAATTGTCAAAGTTAGGCTATTTGTTAACTATGGGTATTAAAAAAGCCCCGGGGAGAGACGTCTAATCGCAAGTGCAACTGATAATTGCACACCAAATGATCTATGAGCTGCTTATAAAAGTCTAGATGCTATGGGCGGGATTTGGATCATCAGGCTTTTGGGGTGTCAAATAATAGCTATAAAACCATAGCAATCCATATTTTATTCAATACACATTATGGAGGATGACCAACGCCACGTGTGGCAGGTTTAAGTCAAGGATTCCTACACCAACCTAAGATGTAAGTTATCCTCGGTTTCCCATCTTGGTTTTTGGAATAATGTACCTTAAAGGAATTGACTTCAGGCACATTTGAACCATCCACATATTTCAGAAATAAGTCCCATGCAGCTATGACATAACAATGATGATGATGATGATGATGAAAAAACAAACTATTTCATACCAAAATGAAAACCAAGCACCTTACCATATCATCAGCCAATGTTTTTATGTGTATGTTCTGTTGGAGGGAGGACAGAGTGTGAAAAAACAAGACGCAACAGAAGAAGATGACAGCAGCGCAAAACTGTTTGTGTCCCATGGCAGAGGCTCACACATGTACAGTGTCCTCTGCTTACCGTCTCATTTTCCTCTCACAATCCCCGTCGAATTTCCAGTAGACAAATAAACTTGTTTGGAGCAGAATAGGTGTAAAGGATGTGGGGAGAAATATCGGAATCCACATTTGGCACTATCCCGGTCTCATTTAACGTTTTCTTTTAGTTTTCCAATGAGGGTACGAGTACATGCTGGACACTAAACATGTGTAGGATGAGACAACACTCCATGATTCCAGATAATAGGGTTTGAATGGATGTAAAGGTAAATACACCTGCTTCACTGGAAAGGTTTGAGAGCCTGTTATGTTATTTCACTTTTAAAATGAGATTCTACCAATGAAGGCAAAGGTTTAAGGGGTTTCTGTGTACACTTTTATTAAAACACATACCAAACAAATATACAAAAAGGAGACCAAAAGGAAAATAAAATCCCACAGTAATGAGCACAAACTCGTTCACAGCACTCTTTGAGGGAGTCAGTGCTGCTGCTTTCAGCTTGGTGTTTCCCTAAACTGAAACATTTTGACAAGGCAATACTTCACAGTCAACCACTGAAGAGCTATTCTATCTGTGTGTGTTCTAAAGAGCATCTCTTGTAGTGACAGTGGTCCAACTGAATCGTTCTTTTTCACTGTTATTGTAAACTCCGCACAAAGAAACACCCAACTTTCCAACTATCAAATTCTTTGGCCGCCTGGAAAAAAAAAAATGTTTTCATCTTAAAAACAAAATTAAAACGGCAACTTCTCTTTGCTACAGATGTTTTGTCTTCTCATCTCAAACACAATAAGACAGGCCACTGCCAAGAGGGACAGCCTTTTGAAGCACAGCTCAAGTGGGAAGGCAGAAGCAACGCTGCCATATGCTGTGAAGCGCTAATGAGTCGGGAGATGTGGGCTGGAGATGGACATGAAGCCCGCCTCGGGCCCAGGAATTTACCGCCGTTGTAGTCGGGACACTACTGGTGCCGGGGGCAAGCAAACAGATAGGGCTCTAACCTGCCGCCTCTCTCGCCGTGCATCTCCATCCGCTGTCGCCGTGGGCAACGCTGAGCAGGCACTCAAACCCCCATATATATATATATATATATATATATATATATATATATATATATATATATATATCGGCGGCTTTGTCTGCAACCGCCGATCGGCAGTTGGGAGATAAAGCGATGAGCCGCGGGAAAAACCAAGCTTCAGCTCCTGTGTGCGGGCGTCAGGTGCTGTCCAAGCTGTTATTTTAAAGTCAGGATAAACAAATATCTCACGTTCATTGGGCATGAGGAAAGGGACACCCGGGTGATCCTCTCCTCTCGGTCCTTCATGGCCTTCAGGATAGCGGCACGGCTCCTCACAATATCAGTCAAACGAATACGAATTTGACCCGTGCAACAACTTTTTCCCCCACTTCAAACTCAGAGAGTATGTATCATTAAGCCCAGCGCTCTCTCCACGTCTGAAACTGCGTGAAACGATAGCTAATTTTCAAACGGAGTGCTTAAACATTTTCTAATCAATTTAACAACAATCAAACCACTGTTTGGTTAATTGCGTTGACTTGAGGGCCTTTCCCTGCCCATTATCTTGGCAACATCGCAACAATGCAATTTAACATCTAACAATTAAGCGTGGATGTCCTCTGGGCTTCTCCCGCTTATTAAAGTAAACTTTTTCATCGTAATAAATGTTTATTACCAAACGCATATTCCTCTAAATAACCTAATCAAATTAGCTCTGGGTCCCTCCTTAATCAAATATTATTATGACTCCATGCAGATCTTGAAAAATAAAACACAAGAGCAACATCTCAGAACTTGAGTCGATTTAGGGACACAAAACCGTACCGGTTTGCACATTTGATGACACAAAATGATAAACTTACATTAGATGAACTAATTTAGATAATAGCCTTTCAGTGGGTGTCACAAACAAGATTTACAAAAAGGACAAACTTTTGTTTCAAATTTGCTCCCGTTGCATCGCTTTTAAATAGCTACGCCGGTTATTCCCAACCAATTTAACTAGACCATCTGTACGTCATTTTAACTCACTCACTGGAACCATCACTATAAAATCAGTAGCCACGATTACTCCGTAAAACGAGCTTCGAAGGAAATTAGGTTTTATTTTAATTAGTTCTAATAATAACAAAAGGATTACTGGGAGTGTGCTTGTTAGCAGTTATCGGCAACTTCATAAAACTCTCGTGTCCCGGTTTAATCAAATGCTTGGTTCCGCTACGGCCAAAGCGGTGAGCTCCCGCTCAAACCTTTTTCTTCAATGTGGCAAAAAAAAAAAAAATCCCAATGCCGACCTGCGAGAAATGTGGGAAATGGTGCGAGCTTTAGAATTATCCTTGTACACTATTGCATTTGCTTCCCGTAAGGTGTTCAAGCGTCCAAGGCTATTTGTTGCTTATTCAGGAGGTAACAATTATAAACATACTACACTGCCTAATACCTGTTTGGCACATTCCCCATTTTCGCTCTCTATTGTTTTAAATGGAGTAAACCATCAACAACGCGGGGAAGGAGGACAGGCGCTGCTTCCCACTATGAGGCCATATACTATTAACCCATCAAAAACAATAGGGGCCGACAAAAGAGACGCTGTGCAAAACTCGCTTACTGCACTTTACGTCAAACAACCACAGCAAAAGACATAAAGAGCTACTCGCAAACGACTTGTCATTCTAACAAGGGTAACGCACAAAATGCTGTATAAGCCGTTCATCTGCACTTTCACAAACATGTTACTCATATTTGTTTTATGTTTCAGAGTGACATTAAATAGTGTTGATGCATAATGTGCAAGATGAAACGGGTTACACACAAACTTTGTAGCCTCAGTCAGGAGTCAAATCTGAAAAGGACAGATGAGGAAACGCCTACGTCAGCATTGTACACATTTTTCACTTTTCACATTCCGCAAATGCAATAGTGGGGTGCCGACGTCTTTTTATTCATACGCACGGCCCTTTGCAGATAATTTGCAATAAATACGTGTTTTCCTATTTTCCACCCTAATAGACGGAGCAGCACACTGCGGATAAAGCGCACCACAACAGTTGCTCGGAAAATTTGCCACAGCTTGTGAACAACACAACACCCTAAAGCACAGTAACGGCAAAGAGAATACAGGATGCAGAGACACATAGAATGATCGCAACACACCTTGAGCTCCCAGAGCTCTTCCTGAGCCAGCAGAGTGAACAGAAGTGATGATGCATTTTACAACCAGCTTAGCATGAATAAAGGAAGGATAGTGTGTACACAAATCCTAAAGGAGCGGTCGCTAAAACGTGTTGGTGCCGGTTAGCAAATGACAGAAAAGACACCCTGAATTCGGTGGTTGCTCCTTGACCTTTCAATACGGTGCATCTGAGCTCTTTCTTTAAAAAAAAAGGGTGTGGCACCCTGTCACTATATATTTAACCGTTGCCTAAAGATACTGTTATTAGATGTATTATATGATTATATATGTATTATAAGAAAACATTGAGTACCCTTTAAACTGAAGAGCTGAGCTCCAAAATGCCAAACTTCTAGTAACATCCATCCATCCATCCATCCATGGATGGATGGATCCTGGATTGTTCGGCAGCCAATCACAGGGCTGACAGTCATAATTATTATATAAATTGGTCTTTGCGTCATCTAATACAATGTACAGCATTGCCGATATCATGCTCAATTTTGGAGGAGTGGCATCAGACAGCACCAAATACGGGCCGAGTAACTTGATTAGACAGAGCCTAAATAAATCACTTTGTCTAAATGAATCTCATTGCAAAGTCTTCTCATTGGCTGCTCGTAAGTACACAGAGAGTTAGTGCACTGCTACCAAAGATTTATGAAGTAACATTTATCCTTCTCGATAAAGACTTTACCCTTTCCAAGCAGAGAAGAGGGGAAAAGAGCCCCAAAGACGAAGCCGCCCTCCAATTGAACTTGTGCGCTCGTGGTTGCGACATGGGAAGTCGTGTTCACCATAAGCGCGATGTTCAAATGCTGAAGCCGGGAGAACACTGCTGCTAGGCAACGGCAATATTAGGCTAAAAGAGGTGCCAGCAGATAATAGAAATGGAAATGCAAAAGGCATAATGTCAGAGTGAAAGGAAGAGCCGGCTGTGAATATCAACATTTTTCTCAGACATACTATTAAATTACAAAAGAAAACGTGTGAAAACACCAAAATGTCTTCGGTGGCCTTTAAGTAGTTTTCACAATGTCAGCGAACACAACTCTTGAAATTCGGGCATTCGGAAAATGTCCACTTCCAGGGGATGGTGAATTATTTGTGGGGGTTTGTAAGGACTCCTCTTGATAACACAGTAAACACAACCCCATTTAAAAAAAACAGCATAAGAGTTTATTTACACCTGACATTTTATGACATCTGAACTATATTTGGGGCGTCTTTATCCATTTAGAATCTGTGTACCTTTAAAACTGACATTTCGACAGGCAGGTGGAAATAAAAAGAGCTTTTTTCGGTCACACTATGCAAATAATTCTTCCAGAGCGCTGAATGACATTTTGTGGGACTTAACTCCACAAAACTGAGATGATTCACTAAACCTTGCAACAGGGTTCCGCTTACAGCATGCCGAGGATGCACACTGCTAACAAACAATTCCAACAAAAAAAATGATCCCGCCATTCCACATAAAATCTGTCCATATATATATATATCTATGTAGATATATATATTGTTTCTATTGTATAGCAACAAAATAATGCAAGCTGCAATGTAATTTTTTTCTACAGCGCCAGTAAGGTTCCGTTGCCATAAATCGGGTATTAGACCTACAAGGCAATTAAAAAAAATCCCAGAATGAGCCCAGCAAGATTTAAAAATAAAAATGATTACCAATATTTTTTTCTATGTAAATCATATGA